CAAGTTCTTGCAGATGTTGAGAAGGAGTGTGGATTAGCGTAGGAGACTGTGTGTACTATATTCAGAGGCACTTAAAACAATGTCGGGTTTTTTCAACAGGTCAACCCAGGCCACCATCATCACAGTGTGCACCACATGTCTTGCATACGTCAATGTTGTGTGGGCCTGGACACCCTGAGCCTGAGCCGGTCAGGATTGGACTAACTTAGTACTTACTAACATGGATAGCAGCGCACACGGTCAGTCAGGCTGAGTCACTCATCTAGACTTATACAGCCGCAGAGTGCGCATTACAATGCGCAAGTGCAGGCCACGAAAAAGGAATGGCTGCTTCCCTTGTGTGTAGTGGGCTGCTGGGAGCTGATCAATTATAACCTCTGGCAGGCGCTTCACGTCTGACACCCGTACGTGAACCTCTTCTCGATGACTCAACGTCCTAGGCCTCTTAGTGCGCATCAAGGATCAATACCAACCTATGCATCTGTATCTATGTGTGGAGGTAACCGTACTTATCGTGTGTCCACGTGTCAAGGAATGTTGATGAGATCACAGAAATGTTACATCGTCATGGTGGCATGAGTGAAGCCTATTTTTAGTAAAAGATGGTATATCTAGTACGACCGACACTAGTACTGCCAACACTCCCCGCTCAGCACTCCCCGCTCACCGATACCCCTCAAACATGACTATAGTCTCAAATGACTCCACTTTCTGGCCGCTAATCAATTTTTCGATGTTTCTCAGCTATTGGAAAGGTTCGTTACAGCAAAATCCAAAATGTCCATATTTATTGAACATAGACTGGTGGTTCCGCAGTTGCTGCGGGTGTCGTGGTGGTATACGATTGGGGTGAGCGAGACGGTCTTCTAAAATGACTCATATTCTCATGATACTTCCAGTCTTAACACTCGGCCAAGAGGTACGTTGATGTCATCGGCGGAGCGGAAAACTCGCTAAGTGAGGTTTCATAGATTGAACTGATTTGGGTGAGTAACAAAAGTCGTATCAGAAGAAAAACAGGACAATTTATTGAATTAGCGATAGAGGCAACGCTGGTCGCTCATGACTGTGCTGTATTTGGTTGTTCGTACCTCATGTTGTGTTATAACGGTATTCTTGTTCTGACTTCATAATGTTCTAGATACGCTACATTGGAATACCATATTCTGTGTACGTCATCGTGGCTAATAATGTGATTCTGTATTGATACCCCATCTCTCATTGCCAGCATCAGCATTCTGCGTATGTCTCATACGCACTGTGTTCGATTTTTCTGACCAGCAGCCCACAGCAAGTATACCATCAGTCAGGCTGACAGATGCAGTGAGTATTCCGCAACTATCTCATTCATATGCAATTAATGCACTCATATGAAGGGGTGAGTATCATTCCGACCATTTACTAACTTGGCTCAGTATAGTGACTCGATAGGTGTGAGTATGAGTGTTTGATCCTAGTACGAGGGTATTGACTAATTGAGTGTTTCAGGCATCATTGTGGAATACGCACAGAATGGGACAAATGTGGTCATAGCTGCCATGTTGGGCGGTGAGTCGCCCAGCTTCAATACTTCAGTGATATTGACCCGAATGAAACATGATGCAAGTCATCATGATCGCTCGGTTGCATGCTATGTACCAGGGATCTACAACGATGCTGATCTTCCTTGTTATCATCTTCCTGGCGCTAAACATCGCCTGTGTAGTAATCACGGTAATAGACCTCAAGTACGTTGTAGGAGGTAAGCTTCACTTGTTGAGTCGATGAACACAGTTCATGAACAAACCCTAGAGGAGTTGATACTCTCTGGCACGTATATATGCGGTTACGGAATGGAAGGCGACGAGCAGCTTCTGTTTTCAATGGTTTGGATGCTCAACACTGTTTGGGAGGTCCTCGCACTGTGTCTTTCAGTTTGGGTTGCTGTGAAACACTTTCGTGGCCTGCGGCGACTCGGCCCATCAACAGGATCGACCATCGGGGACTTTTTCAGAGTGCTGATTCAATCCCACGCTCTCTATTTTACAAGGTGAGCCTGCAACGTGAACACAGTTATATTTTGCTGCTCAAGTTCCCCGTGTGTTAGCTTTGCTTGCGTCTCTTGCCTGCAGCTTGCTTATATCTCTCCAGAACTCCAGGTGCGCTGACCTGTTGCTGACATTCGTGTGTAACCACTACTCATCATTTCTGTAGAATTCATATTCTATTGAAGTTCAGATACTCTATGGTGCTTTTCCAATTTTACTGGTCGTGCAGAGGTTTGTGTTGGGACCACGCCTTATCCTTAGCGTTCGAGGATACCACGCCAAACTCGTGGCAGACTCCGACATAGAAACTAGCATGATTTCGATTGTTTTCCAGGAGCGTGTGCATGTATCAACTAGCAGTACTGTGTAGGCAAATACTTACCGAGTGGTCTGCAAGGACGAGAAATTTGGTCGAGGATCCATCGAGATACATATCTATGTAATATGTAAGGTATCGAAGTATGTTTGATAAGCAAACCTATTTCTTGTTGAGTACTAAGGGTAGCGTACGTAATGTCTCGCACATGTGCATGAGCTATTGTAACGACCAATATTCATAAGGGTGGGTGCCAGTGACCGGTGCATCGATGGCGGGATTAGGATAACCCGTGTGATTGATGAAGCTTGAAGCTTAAGCCCCGCGCTGAATAGAAGCACGATGGATGAAAGAATGATATGAAGGGCGCCAGCGGACAAAATTCCCAGCGATTTCAATTCAGAGTTTCGACGTTTCATTTCGCTTTCAAACACAAGTGATTCGTTTTCGGGTGCTAATTCTCGCTTTCCCGAGACTGATTTTCACGTTAAGTTTCGATTTCATGATTTTGATTTCACTTATTGATTTCACGCGTTTTCAGTTTCGGTTTTGATTTCGTCGACACATTTTGGTTTCAAACTCCGATCGATGTCGTGCAAATACCCGCGCGGGTACACCATAGGCCATGAGGGAGTTGCAGGGGACCAGTGCTGGTGACACTGAAGCTCAAGGTACGTTCTAACTTTTCATCATTTTTCTATATTCTTACTACAAAGCATCTTTGCTAGTGCTGCCGAAGTCCGGTTCGGTTCGGTTCTTGGGGCAAATTTTCCGAACGCCGAACCGAACCATAGGTTCGGTTCAGCCATTTGGTCGAACCCTGGACCGAACGTCACCGAACGCGTTCGGGAGGGTCCGGTTCGCGTTCGAACCAGGTTCGACTAAGCTTGGACCATCTGTGGTTGTATAGGCTCGAGACCATGAGTTGTCATGTAATTCGAGTCGGACAGACAACGAAAAGACTCTAACGCAAGGAGAACTTCTTTGTACAAAGATTGAATTCAAGTTTCTAAAATAAACACATTTTATTTGCCCGGTGCACATAGTTCCCTGATCACATTCTCATCGATCCTCTTCTCTAAACATATCTCAAACGCAGCAGCATGTACGGTTGCAGTATTCGAGATTGCAAGCGTGTCAATCTTCGCTGCAGGATTCTCTGAAAGGCGGAAAGCCCAGAGAATAACAGCTGTATTGATGAAGATGGACCGATTCGCGACATGTTGACCAGGACACACTCTAGTATTTTCAAGTAAGGCATGAGAAAAGGTGGAAAGATGAACGATACCACTCACCGGCGGCCAAAACCAAAAGTGAAAAACTTGAGATCAGTGATCACCGCGCACACGACCTGCATCGTCGCGCGATGCGCAAAGCCTGTAGTGAAAGGTGGTCGTCCATTATCGCATCATCACAACTGAAATAAGACGTACCTCCAATAGTGACAGGTCTCCACCTGAGACCCTCGAGGATGAACACGGTAACTTGCGGCATAGCTTGAGCTCGAACGAAGACCGACAGACTCACGAACTGCGAACGGTGGGCAACGACTTGTATCAGCATGGCTGTTGCTCGAACGAGGATCGACACACTCACGACCTGCGAACGGTGGCCAACGTCTTGGATCAGCACGGCTCTTGTTCGAACGAGGAACGGTGGCCTGGTCCGCCAACGATTTGGATCAGAATGGTTCGAGCTCGAAAATCTTGACATACTCACTTCCTGCGAACAATAAGCAACGACTTTGATCAGCATGGCTCATAACATTCCCAAGTAGTACTTACCTATATTAATCATTAGCAAGAGTTCAAAGTGTTTGGAATTCATATAGCGACATAAGATACCTAGTGTTTGAACATGTTGTGACGGTGCAGTACTGTGTCACAGCGCGTCACGACTGCGGCAGGCACGACAGAGGACCGCGTCAATTTCACCCGGCTCAAACCTGCGCGGGTTGCAGACACATGCATTTGCATATATTGACACATAGTAAATACTTACATCTTTTTAAAAAAGTGTAAAGCGTACAAAAATTGAGAGGTTCGAACCCGTTCGAACCTATTCACTACCAGCCCGAACCCCGAACCTCTGGAAAGGTTCGGTTCTGAGTCTTGGCCGAACCTTGGACCGGACCATGCGTCCGGTTCGGAAAGGTTCAGGTTCGAACCGAGGTTCGGAACCGGACTGCGGCAGCACTAATCTTTGCGCCTGCCTGTTCTCTCGCGCCCGACTCATACTTCACAGGGAAGCACTGGCCCCTTGCGCCCGGTCGGTCACACATATCGCCCTTCAGATGGAAGCGCTGGCTTTGTTATCACATTAGTTTCTGGTTCCAGCTATCTAACCTCTAAGCATGGAATATGTGATCCCACAGAACCGATTCACATCTACCCCATGTGTGCAGTTACCTTCCATTTTGAATTATGAGGCTCGAGAGAGCAAGCTTTGTCATTGTCATGGGTGCCTGCTAAGGTTGCGCTTAATCTACAAGTGCTTGAGTAGCGGGTGAGAAAATACTGTTCGAGCTTCTATTGCAAGCTACCATGGATCATGGTAGCACATGGACCACGGAACGCACATGGATACATAAAATCTGACGTCTCCCATTTCTTGACATAACTCTTCATTTTCCCCGTCGCTTCAAGGACATCCCAGACATGGACTCATCCCCCTGCCGCCAGTGTGCATGTCGTGGATATTTGGAAATGGGTGTAAGTTACATTCTGTGACTCTCAGGTATTTGGTGCTGATCGATCCCAGCCTAATGAGTGCGCATGCACTCATACCCCGCAGGATCACACAACTGTGGCCCTTCCACCTCGTCGATGTGCATCTGGCACCTATTTCTCTACGGTGAGTATAAAGAATGAACACTAATCATGAAATTCACATTATGTAGAATGAAAATCCGGCCACATATCGATCCATGTGTGCACTCTGTAATGGAGCGTATTACGTCCATGTCCCTACTCCCACTCAAGCGCCCATCACCCCAACTATCCGCTCTGGTTATGATTCGACCATGGCAAATTCATCAAGTTCTTCATCTGGCAGTCCGGCACTTGCCCAGTACATTCATCCTCCTCCATCACCACTTTCCAGTAGCACTGGAGCACCGCCGACAACTCCTGCACCTCTGACCCTTCGACTGTGGAGTCCTCCCCATGCACCTGCATCTGGAACTACAAATGACCGCCGGTGTGCCCCCCATGGGGTATCAGCATCTCCACTGACATCAGTGCCAATAATCTCTTCCCGGGCAGGCAGGTCTGGACCGTCTGGCAACTCAACCAGATCATCCACTGCTCCCAGGAGACAATTGACTCAGCGCACCACTCAATCCATCAAGTACTTGGTGGTCATCCACCCTGAGCCGGTGAGTAATCTTTGAATGCAACGTATCACATAGTTTTTTACTCTTGTACTTTTGTCTAGGTGTATGGAACGGTCACAACAGACTTTGATCGGCTGTTTCGTGAACTCCGGTGCCCTGTGCCTCAAAAGATTGGCTCCTTTTTACGCCAGGCCGAGTCCCTGCGACTCTCATTCAAGTTTGAAGTGACGGCGCGCTCAGACGAATTGGCAGGACCTATTTTCAATACTCAGTTGACCAACCATTTGGATGGCAAGGGGTTTGTGTTTTCCCGCCCTCACAGCGCACCCAATACCAACACTGTCACAATGTCTCAATACACCTGGTCGTTCCTTATGACTGGAAAAAGTCAGCGATCAGCATTGGGCGCTAAACTCACCTCATCTCGGAAGTCTGCTGAAGATGTCACTCACAAAGACTTGGCCGCAAATGCTGACAAACTCCCTGTACCGTCACCTCATCATGATCACCGCATGGTGTTTGTTGGTAAGCTTCTCCTCCGTTTCCTCTCCCGTTCTTAATCATTGATGTGGCATCCAGTTCCTCTAGAGTTTATTGTTACTGGCCCTCTCGATGGACAGGGCTTGCACCTGTGTCTTGCACCTCGGCTCTGGAACAAGAACTTTCAACCAGACATACATGAAGAGGACACAGAATTTACATGCGCCGACGGGTGCTCTGAGGTATGTAATGTCTTTTCTTGCCTGAGTAGGTGCTCAATTTACGTCTTCACCTCAGCAACCATCAATGGATTCTGATATGGATTTTGATGTTCCTGATTTTGCGCCATTGACACCAGCAGATACTACCAACGTTGGGGTGTCTCTCTTCCTGCCAGGGCCAGTGTCTCCTGTTAATGGGGCAGCACCCTTATCACCTCTACGCATGCCTCAGATTATGTCCTTCGATGGTCCTGCTTCCTCTGCATCGTCCGGTCCAGATACTGCCACTAATACCATCATGCGTCCCCCTGTTGCTTTGCAACCCCGTCAACAATCTCCCGCTGCTGCTGTTGCTGCTTGGAGAGGGAGAATAGCAGCTGCACGAACGACCATGCAGTCCCTCCTCAGTGACGATCCAGCTACCATCACCATCAGCGCAAATACTGCATCAGTTGCAGCCCGATCGTTTATTGACGCTATCAAGAGTTGGTGCCGCCCAGAGGCTTCAATGACTGACGAGCAGTCAACGGGTGCCACACTTACTGGATTGACGCCAACAAGCATTGTCACTGGGGAGTTTGATGTCTCAATGTATGTCGGATGGGCAGCTCTGCCCAAAATGTCACTGACCTATTCTTCTACAGTAGCGATGGTGTTGGACATGGTGTACTTCGCTCTTTCTGGAGCGAGGTCATCAGAATGATTACGGAAGACTCTGGGCATTGGCAAAGTACCTGCGACGGGCATTGGGTACCCATTGTGACCTCACTACCCCCCTGTGATGAAGATATTGTTTCATACCAGGCGTATGGAATCATCTTCTGGACTGCGATGCTTATGGACCTAGAAATCCTCCCCGTTTCTCCGATCATTGTATTGTTTCTGCTGAGCGACTACATCACAGCTACCACTTCATCATTCACCGCTGCCATTGCACCCATTGGGAGTCAACGTCTTCTTGCGTGGCCACCCCCTCTAGTCACTGATGCTGCAACAGGCCGGTTAGAACTATCCATAGCACCTGCAACAAATTTGTATTCCATGATTCTGGAAGTTGACGCTTCTGCCCAGGTTAGTTTCTCATTCATTTCTATCATGACGATGTTTTCACACTGCTTGGTTAGATCACACAGCTGAGGCGTCTTCCTGTACATGCACAGGCTGAGCTTACCCACCGGTTGCGATGTCAGGTGTTCTTTGGCAACCAGTTTGCTCGTGGAACACCTGACCACATTGTATATTCATCAATGCGTCAGGCATTCGACTGCCTAATTGGCGACCGTATGACATTACGTGAGGTGCGTCCTCACATTAAAGACATTCATTCATTGGCTCACATATCACCACTGCTGCATTCAGCATTTCATCACTGAAGATTCATCTAGTACGATTCTTGAGGGAATGTTTGGTGGCCGCATTCTTTCCTCACCAGAGCAGGTTATCCGCCTTCTTGTCATCAATGTTACCCCAGTTGGTGGTGTCTTGAATGATATCATTGCACGATTCAAACTTCATCTGGAGCGCTACCTCCGTGGGTGCAGCACTCCTACTCAAAATGATGGATCAGATCTTTTCGGAGAAGATGTAGTAATTGATCCATTGTTACGAACTCGACTCTTTCTCCGGTGTGTCACCGGTAGTGAGTTCCTTCCAGCATGCCCCCAGCAACAGATCAGGGTTCGATATTTTATTTGCTCTATTCATGTCTCGTCACTGATGTCTTTGAACAGTTGAATTTCCAGACGCAGTGGAACCATCATTGGCGTGAACATGTGGTGCACCTTGTCACTTATTCTAGATTATTGCAGCCCTTGACATCTACGATGACAAGGGAATCCACATCCACACATGCTTCTATGCAGTGGATGTGCTGTTGAATGAGCCATCTACGCTCATTGTGAACCAAGAAATTCTGGCGGACATGTCCATTTCCACTGACTTTGACAGGTGGATTCACTCCTGTATCAGTGGCAACGCCTTCGATCACTACAATACTTCTGTATGTCTGCTATCCTATCTGATCTGAGTCTTAAAGGCACGCTACTAATCATGCCTACATAGTAAATGTTACTCCTTGCACTTTTCTACTCGCACTTCAACAGTTTGATGGCTCCAATTGCTGTACTTAACTCGTTATTATGCTGTACTAATCTCTCGCATCGTTTCATTTGCATGCTGCCAAGACCGACCTTCACGTATCCTGTGACCCATAGAATATCACTACTGCTTTCTTCGTACTGACTTCCGTACTAATTGCTACTGATTGTACCCTTGCACCATCCCAGTAATATTGTACCAGCTTCATTTTGTACCCTGACATAATCGTACTGCCCTGCAGCGTCAACTAAGCCTGCATTCTGGGCCTGATTGCATGAATAAGTGTCAATAGGTCAACGAAGACTTCCAAGCTCTAAACGTCACAAAACATGTCATTGAAGCTTTTTATGGGTATATGTTTGGAGATTTGAAGTAAACTGTCGCTGGTCACAGAAGGGATGTCTTCGCTGTGCTGGGATCTTTACATGGATGATACGACTGTTATCTTACAAGTGCTGTAGTATCCAATAAGAAGGCATGTGCATGATCCATGATCTCCAGCGGGATGTCTTTCATTTGCACGTGCCCCGTATGCTGCATAATTAGTTTGACCTGTATTGCCAAATAGTGCTGAAACTGAGGAAAACGAAATGAAGAAATCCAGCTTGTTTATGTCAATTGTGTTGCATAACACCTCGAAAGCTCCAATCTTGGGATCGAATGGCATATTGAAGTCCTTCACCGATAGCCCAGAAAAGAAACCATCTGCTAAAACCATGGAGAGCAACATGCATCCCCCAAGCGGATTCTGAAGTTCTCCCACCAATGCTTTCATGTCGGGCTCGCAGAGGGCATCAATCGCATCGATGCGTAAATTCAAGTCTGCTAGGCTCTTGAGGTATGCGATGATACGCTGAGATGCAATGTCTCCCCTGCGCTGAATTCCAGCGCACCCGGAACGCGAAGTCAGGACGATTTCCTGGGCGCCATTCTAATGAATCGACTTAGTGTGAAACAAATAGATTCAGTGAAGAGCGTAATTCTGACCTTGTACATCCACTGGGCAATCTGAAGCCCAAGGCTGCCGACACCTCCCACCAGTATATAAGCCTTCTTGTCGCTGAAAAGATGTTTCTTCACATGGATGGGATCACCAGGCTTGGTAGTAATGATCTCACTGAGACTGCGCATGGGGATCTTAAGCTTGTTGCCAGCTATATCTGATCCAAGACGAATAGCGTGGCCAATTAACCATGGGTCACAGGCAAGCAGCGATTGCAAGCCTTTCGTCGGATGCTTCCATGGGAATGTCTTCCCATTGGCTGTCAAGAGGCGTGCTAAGAGGTGGAGTGTTGCCATGTCTCTGTATTCAGAGACAATTAAATTGAAATGGCCATTAGGGAGGCGGCCAATTTCGGAGTCCGTCGCATGTTGCATTAGAGTAGTAACACAAAAGCCCCGGAGAAGGTAGAGTTGAACAATCTGGATGCCAGTTTGAGAATCTGCGTGTGTCACCAGAATCTCTCCACGAAACCTTCCAGGGTTCTCAAAATATGTAGGACCAACAGCAAGGACTGCTATAGCAAACACGAGAACAGCAGGTGCCGTCGATATATCAGCATTCCAAGCTACTGGAGCATCTACCATGCTATCCAGTGGCGATACAATGATATTTCCAACAGGGGAAGTGGATATTCCCATAATGCCTTTGTGCGAGCTGTCCAATGAGCCAATAAAGGTCCATATCTGATCGTCCGATCGGCTGATACGTTGTACATGCACGACAGCAGAATGATCATCCAAAGAGGGAGATGAGCAATGAACAATGACCGACTTCTCAAGTCGCCACGGTTCGTCGAAGTTGAAAGGAGAGACCTTCTTCGGACCCTCGCAAGGTGTTATTCTTGGGACATGTACCAATCCGGATGTGTCCACCACAAGCTCGGTCTCCACCTGGTGCATCTTTGATACAACTTCAACTGCCCGTCTTATGCTTTCATCGTCCCAACCTGAGTCGAACACTATCATGCGAATTTTCCATGAAAGGTATTCCTTCCGCAAGGATCGCACGAACCCAACAGCCTCGTCTCCACCCGGACCAGTGAGTGCTGTAAAATAGATGGTACAGGGATTTGTGGCGTCCTGTGCAGATAATATCCGCTGAAGTTCCATCTCTTTTCTGTGTTCGTAAACTATAACGTTGAGTAAAGGGGACAATAACGTTCCATCATCTGTGCCGACTAACGCACTGTGACTGGCATGGTCTATACTAAGGAACAAAAGCACTGGTACCACGTAGCATGTGTCAAGCTACCAGGAGCTCTTGAACTTGACGAAGACCTTGTGCATCGAAGAGCAGCGCACGGGCGTGCCAGAGAGGGTATGTCGAAAAAGAGGGTGATCTTCTTGAGCCTCGCATCAAGAGTGATGACTTTGGATGTCAGCTGTAAAGGGCAACGGGCATCAGGGACTTCAACATGTGATAGTTGTGTAGGTTGGTTCGAGACAAATGGATTAGTACCATCCGAGTCCTCATCTGTGCCGCAAGCAATGCGCCTATGTGAGGAGGGTCAAGGGAAAGACCACCAAGTTCAATCGGTGTTGCATAGAAAACAGGTAGGACCAAAGTAAACGCTATGTAAAGCAGGTTTGTGGTAGCATAACTTGTTGTTACCCTCAACACTTTCGAGGTTAACAAGGCATGTAGTGAAAGTGGCTTTGATTGGGCTTCTCCAGGATCAACATTACTCGATGTCTGGCGAAGCTTTTGGTATGACTGTCGGAAGAATCTTTCTTTGATTAGCTCCCAAAGCGGTGTCCTGGTAGAAACGCTCTGACAACCATACTTAGTGTGATCCAGAGATGAGTTTTCAGTATCACGCTCACCTCTTTGAGACGAAAATATGTGATTAGCCAAGCTATCGATATATAAAAAAGCTGAAATAGACCATGGCAGGAGATATGGATAAGTTTTCAGGAGTTCTGATCGCCCAAAGATGTCAGGGAGTCTGTCTGCTGGTCGGGAGAGCGATCCTCCAATGAGTGGTCTAGTAGATGCCGTGAACCTCAGTGCGAAAGAAAATGTACTGCATACCTACCCAACTGTGTTTCCGATCATCCATGGAATTCGTATATAACCGTATGCCTCAGGCGTCAGTAGTGTCCATCACCAAGGTCTTGAGGACACCATCACTCGAATCAAATGCTCCGCAGAAAACACGACTGGTCAAGGATATTGTGAGGCGACAGGTTGAGTAGTACTGTCTGGTGCTAGATGGCGAAGGCAAAGGCGTAGGGCAGTGTGAAACGCCCAGAGACACAGAGGGTGTCGAAGCACTTGGAGGCTCGGTGGGGGAGGAGCGCTGGAGTGTGCCAAAGGAGAGATCGAAGAAGAGAACGAGAAAAAGCACGGGCTGCAGCCACTGAGCAAGCTTAGGGTTAGGGTTAGGAGTTCGCACCTGCAAGGAATAATTATGAGAGCGCCCGAAGCGAGAACAAGGCAAGTGTACAGGGCAGGAGCCAATGCCGATTGAACAAAAGCCTGGCCAGCAGTGCTGGTACCAGGCAGATCTGCATGTTCTGCACTATAAGATTTGATGTGAGAGTACCATCTGGCAGAGTGCGGGTATTTCGATGGCTCCGGTGCCGTGAGCAAGTTGTAAACGTGGACGTCTGCCTGAGAGGGTGTTATTGCGAACGGCTCGCAGGACTCCAGGAGAGTGTGTGAGGCAAAGCGAATTTGGGGGGGCAAGTCGGAGAACTTGTACATCTCACAGTACTAGTACAACTTGCTACACCCGAACCATTGGCGTCCGTGCCAGCTTCCAAGCCGCACTGTATGTATCGCCTCCAGTCCGGAGCTGAACAAGTCATATATTTGTACGTGTGTACATACATGATATTGCAGCATGTGCCGATCTAGCATCTGACCGGTCTTGGTGAAAATTTCAGTTGTAATGCACAACCAAACATTGGCTTCGGTTGATGCAAACAACACGTAAATAACCCCTACCACTTACCACTAACCATGCCTTGCACTTGCGACTGACAATTAATAAGCGTTCATCGATCCATTCTTCTCCTCTGGCATCCATCTGGCTTTCATAGGTGGACTTTCGGCTGCTCTGACGATTTCTGCGTCGATCGAGAAGGCTTTGACGTCACTCTTCTCGAAGCTGCCAAGTTCCCTTGGTCAGTACATATGATACATGAGCATCGGTATACGGAGTCACTAATACATAGTTGTACCAGTTATCATATTGGTGAGAGCTTGCTCCCGTCGATCCGCCCCTTCTTGGCATTTATTGATGCGGAAGAAACCATCAAGAATTAAGTCACTCTCGTTCATCGTTCATCGTTCATCGTTCATCGTTCATCGTTCATCGTTCATCGTTCATCGTTCATCGTTCATCGTTCATCGTTCATCGTTCATCGTTCATCATTCATCGTTCATCGTTCATCGTCATACTAATATCGATCGTCCATTCCAGATACAGATTTCATTGCGCTGAACCCAGACAATGGGTCTTGGAACGTGGTATGTAATATATTGGGGATATGCTCACTGTCTCATCGTTTCAAGAAAGTGACGCTAGTCAAGCGAATCTCAGAGACTCAGTCCATCTGGACGATGTACTACACTTTCCCTCCCCCCGTTTCTCCGCGTGTCTTCACTGTGTTACAAACAATACACTTTCGCGAGTCAGCTCCAAGAACTGGGTATGACTACTCGAAACCTGTTGATCGTCCTCTGATATAGAGCATTTAGTTTGGATGTCGAACTCATTGAATGCCCATTGGAAGAGCCCGCACATCACCGCGCCCGTCGCTAGTCCAGGAACAGTTCCCGATCTTCCACAACGACGCTATCATAACACCAAAGCTAGAAGATATATCCAAGTCCACCCAGAAAGCTTCTGCATCTAGTACTGGAGTCACGGAGGACGATGGAAGCATATGTGCAGCTGACTTCAAGTAGCAGATACTCGACTCCTGCACTATTGCTGGTGCTGGTGCTTGCATGTCCGTTCCTGAGCGTGTCGCTTGTCACCATCTTGCGCCACGTCAACAAGGCTGTTTTATGTTTCGTTTCCGGTTAGCACCTTGGATTCCTTCAAATTCCCCTGACTCCCCAGAGGCGCCGTGTCTCAGCTAAAGAATCACGGTCCTCATATCACAATGCTTAATAGGGTATACATGTATCACCCAGTAGTGCTTCAGTAACAATCTCAGAAACGCTTATATTTGTATCTGTATGTCCACCTCGGCGAGTGAAAGCGAAGGCAAGCTCCTCCACAAGCATTAACCAACTTCAGCGTCCCAAAAACTCATCAAGTATACCTTGCATCATTAAGCTACGCATGCATGAACGTGCTTCGTGCACCTTGTAATCACCTTGAATGCATCATCTGTAGGCCACTTGTCGTGAGTCAGCTGAAAATAAGGTAGCAGTTCATAGGACATTGCATGAGGCAAGAAGACGAATCGAGTATGGATTGCTAAGGAACTGAAGCAGTGCGCTGTCCCTCGACTTTTCTCTCGCGCGCTGCCTAAGCAATCATATGAATGATTGTCGTCGCATAGAGAGAAAAAAAGGACCAGTGGTTGGTGCAAGTGGGCAGCTAGTGCCAGTAGAGATATTTATCGATTTAAACATTATCAACATGTATAACAAATCACTTGACTAAATAATACAACTATGTCTCCTTTAAATCTACTTCGGAACACCCAATAACTTCGATCAATACCTTCAAGAAAGTGGTAATAAATAAAAGCAAATTTCCCTGGTCTTTGGAGGGCACCAGACAACCGTTAACTCCACCGAGTATCACACACCACTACCAGTCGAAATTTCCACGCGCTCCTGGAAAGCGATTGAGGTCATACCAGTTGCTGCGTCAGAATTGGCCACAAGCTTAGCGTGGTATTCTCGAACACCAAGGATCAGGCATGGTCCCAACACAAACATCTGCACGACCTCCAAAATCTGAAGAAACCCATAAATAATCAGGTTGTCCAGGGAATCGGCCTATAGAAACGATAAATTGTGGTAGCGTGCATAGGCAAGTGAAAGATTGACATACCGTGAAGAATGTTGGATAGAAAACAAGAATGAGAGAGAAGCAAGAAACAGCAACAAAGCTACCACGTCCGATCCATTAGTGGAAAAAAGGAACAATAATCACAATATGAGCTTACCTCGCAAAGTAAACTGCGTGAGTTTTCATCAGCACCGTGAAACAGTCCTCGATAATGCCTCCTGCCGAATGTTGTCGCAATTCACGTAAGTGTTTTACCGCAATCCAGAGTGCGAGACATAGCACGATTCAGAGGACCTCCCATGCAGTGCCGAGAATCCAAGTAATCAAACCCAGAAGTGCGATATCTTCCAAATAGTTAAACTGGCAAAGCATCTGTGCAGAAGACTCACAGTATCTGTCAATGAGAAAGTTGGAACATGCACTATATGTCGTTGTTCAGAATAAACACGGACGGCGAGTATGAGAGTAGGGTGAAGAGAGGAAAGGAGAGCATACTTCTGACACACGAGGCCGAAGTTTGGAGTCATTTCCGCAAGGTCCTTGATCACTATAGCACGATTGTCCTAGAGACACACGCAGGAATGTATGAATAGGAATGTAGAGACCGGGGTGGATGGGGGGATACATTCCATGAGTCGCCTGTGCAAAAACTGCTTGGTTGCTGAGGAGCGCTAATGTAGCAGCATCTCGCAGAGCGGAAGGGTCTGAGGTGGAGTGCTGATGAGCACCACGGAACACGTTGTGTTGTTGCTGCACACGAGTAATGGCCGGGTGATGATTGTCTCCGGTAGGGAGAACCATGTCATAGAGTTGCTGAGTGTTACCGAGCGACAGGTGAGGAACGTGTGCCGGACCATAGGCAAGTCCTGTTGGGCTTGGGACCAACGGTTGTGGAGGGTAACCTCGCTGAGTCTAACAATAGGTAGATTGAACTCCATTCGCCGGGCGTCCTTGGAGACAATGGTCAAGGTCCACGGAATTCGCCGTCCATGTACAGTTGTGCGAAAACAACGGCGATGCAGGAAAGACCTTTCACTGGAATGGTTGGCGGCATGAACCTGCATCACCGTGATTAGCAGCTCTCAAAGATATACTGATCTCGTACTTGGCATCCGAGGGCAACGGCATATGGAGGTCGAATTCGCCTGTTGGAAGAAGTGTTGCTGATGTCTTCATTCGGAAGATGTCTAGGCCTCTCCTCAGCTCGGCAAGGCAGAATTGAGGGAGACCAGTTTAGGGCAAAGGGAACGAGTGTGTCCAGTGGGCTTGATGTTGCAGTCGAAAGACTGGCAAGAAGACTGCGATCAGATGCGAGTGCTAGGCCATTGAGAGACTGTGCGAGTGCCTTAAGCGAGCGTGCCGCAGTGTAAGTGATGCGAGGACAGGTGAGGGAGCGAGGGGACACAAGGGGGGACGAGCAGATACATCAGACGACCAACATTGTGCAATCTCATTCCAGCGTGCTGTTGTCATATCGGGTGTCGCAGGACGGGAAATGTCTTCTCCTCTTAGAATTCTTTGAAGAACTACGATGTCGTTCATATCATTCCAAGGAATGACCAGTGTTAACACCTGCGCACAGGCGATCATGTTAAAGGTACGTAAGTTTTCTGGATCTATAAATCTCACATGAAACATGACGCGACCAAATGAATAAATGTCGGTTTGCGTAGTTGGTGCACCATTAGCAGGTTGGTCATGTACCTTCAGCAACTCGGGTGCGATCCATCTGATGGCACCAGTTCGAACATTTGATCCGAATGTGCGGTCACCTAAACGACCACTGAAAATTGTCGCCAGACTGAAGCCTGTTAAGCGTGCTATGTATTCTCCTTCCTTGATGTCAACCAGAACGTTAGACTGGAACTCTCCGTCAGGAAAGTTTTATGTCAAGAAGATGAACGAACACTCGTAATGTTTCCATGTACCATATTCGATCCATGAACTGATGGCAACCATATCAGTAAAAGCAAGCTTAAAATGAAAGAAAGACGAACGATAGCAAAGGCCAGACACCACATTATGAAGCTAACGACACAAAAATGAGGTTGAGATACAGAAGTTATACCTAAACAAACTACTCACCAAATTTAGCTTCGACCTAATGTTCAATGCAGCACCCTGTTCCGCGATGAACCGGAGCAGTGTACCGCTCTGTAACCATGGAAGAACAAGAGCTGGAGACGGCCCAAATCCTGCTGTCGTCCCAAGCACGGGAACGATGTTGTCGTGTCTGAGGACAGCCCAATTCTTAGCCACGTGTCGAAATCTCTATCAAATTCAGATCAACGATAAGCTGTAAATGACAAAAGAATTAACGAATTCTCACTTGTAAATCCAGCTCTGATAAGTGAACCTCGATGACTTTTACTGCAACCTGCAGCACAATAATCAATAAATATATCATCAATGTTACTAACATTGTCCGACCATCATAGGACCCAACGGCCGTCTCCATTCGCATTTGCAAATTATCCCGATATCACCTGCAGCAACCAGGTCAGTCATCGTACCGACGATCTGACCTGTCAGGTCCACCAGCCCCTGACTGGCGGGAACCTTAGATCGTCGACCCTGCCAGTTGTCGGTCCTAAACTGATTGATGTATTGAAGAACTTTCGTGGCCCTTGGGCATTGACCCGCCTCCCAGGACCAGCATTTCTGAATCAAGTCCCAGCGATCGTCGAGGATGTTTTTGGGACGTGCATGTGAGACTTTATTCGATAGCGCGACGCAGATTTGAACATGTTGCTTCTCTTTCCATGGCATATCCCCCGAGACAATCTGAGATGAGAAAACTTAGGATAGAGCTGCAAAAACAGAGAGATCGTACATAGAACATGATACCACCAAAAGAATAGACATCACTCATGAAAGTCGGTTTTTGAGGATTACATTCCAGTCCAAGGACTTCAGGCGCCCGCCATCGAGAATCGAAATTGCATTCGACAGTGGTCGGATTCAACTGTAAATCTGCTTCTCCTTCGATTGTTGCAAGACCGAAATCAGCCAAACATGGATTCCCTGAACCATCTATGAGGACATTTCCCTGAGGCCTGGGAATGAGTGTAGCATCTGCAGAAAGACGACCGTACATACGGGGTGAAGGTCCCCGTGAACAACATTCATTGATTGGACTGAATAGGCGTCAAGAACGAAAGGGAAGACATGGTAGAAATCGACAAACAATAATCGAGGCCAGCAGCAACACCCTTGACCTAGTAGCATGAATTCTTGTTGGATATAATTGATGGTAATGTTGAGAAGAGAACTCACCAATGCAACTTTGGCAAAAGCAGTAATGATAGTAGTTTCTTTGAGGTAGACAGATAACGTTCCAGATGGCATCCACTGGGAGACGAGAGCCGGGAACTTGGATGAGGAATTCACGTATGCGAAGCCAAGTAGCGGAACAATGGTCTGGTGTTTCAGTCTAAGCCACACTTTGAGTTCTCGACGTATTGCCTACATAGACCATTCAGCAAAGTAAAAATTGAACCCAGACGACTGACATTTTCAATTTTGTCCGTAGCTCTCGAAGGGTCAATCTTGAAGACCTTCACTGCGACCTGATGATGGTTATTCATTAGATGGGTGCAGATTTGTCGTTTAACGTGTCTTTTGATGTGGATGTGGAATCTGGATGCGTTAGAGGCGACCATGTAGCAGTATGATTAATGGGGTGGATGTATGTTTTTTTTGACGCCGGAGAAGATACAAAGAAACAGAAGGTCTTGAGGTGAATTCTTGTCGATTTTCAAAAAACACAAAGTACCGACTGAAGGGGAGTCCTCGTAGTATATACAAGTTTCAAGTATTAGGCTCGGTTCTAGAAGAAGCTAATGCTAATGTTTGAATCCAAAGTAGACGGCGTGAGTGCATATCGACATAAAGACTAGAATCGAGAAGGGGCTGGATATCTGAGAGAAAAGATTGAAGTTGAGTGTCAGTAAATGGACAATGGGACTCAGGAACCTCGACATGGGATAGATCAGAATCAGGATGATTTGATACAAATGGATTGGTTGAATCACCGTCCTCGGGATTATGAGTATTGTGATGAGCCAGTAGACGCTGGTCATCCAAGTCATTCCAGTCAATGCCATAGCTGGCAATATCTTCTACCTCCTGGTCCTCAGCCGACTCAACAAACACCCCTCGATGGCCGTGCTCAATGATACCTTGGATGAACATGTCATGGGGCGACCGATGGGGCTCTCCACGACGCCCGAGAACATGGTGATTCCACGAGGCTGCCCACTGGCCTGCGTCGTCATTGATCAAAGGGATGAATAGGAAATGAAGTAGCCACAGGTGTGAATCGTTGTTCACGTTGAGGTTGTCGTAGGCTTCAAGAGTCTGAAAAAATTCCTTCCACTTCTGCCCTAGGCCGTTTGTCACATCCACCCAAAGACGTTCAATCCGGATGTTGTGAACGCTCCTGCAAATATAATTAAAACAGGCTAGCATGTGGAAAGCTCAATGATACTTACCTGCCCCATATGTATGAGCCACGCTCAATTCCTCGTACCTCTTCCATCCGGGCAGCAACAAGTAGATTTTCTGTCCCATGGTCGCCTCTCACTCGGCTTGGGTATCCATGGATCATAGCAATATCTTCAAATAAAGAGAGCACAGTTGCGGAGCGGTTGTTATTACTGACACGAATTCCTAGAACATAACGAGAGAATCCGTCAATGAAGCCATGGATGACTAGCTTCCAGCGGATGAGACCTGCAAATAAATTAGTAGCTTTATTACACCACATGTACACAACACACCATGCTGTCCATCGTGATGAACAAGGGCCATGGGGCCTGGTACAGAATAGCTACGGTGTTGGATTCGCCGTGGACCAAATGTCGCAGGAGATGGACCAACAACTCGCAGATATGATACTTCTATACGACTGCGAGGGATGCGGTAACCAAGCTGCAAAAGATAGCCATCACGCATCCGTCGTCCAAAGGACGGAAACTGCTGATGGAGTTCCAGTATCAATCTATCAAGTTCAGCATCTGAAATTGTGGATAGATCACTCGAAGATCCTCGATGGTATATTCGGTTGATACTACCATCAGGCTGCTGCTCATCCACATATACTGGAGGTCCAGGAGAAGAAAGGTTGAATTCAAGTAGTCGACGACGTATGGTGCGGGGATGACATTGATAGAGTTCAGCTAGGCACCTCCTTGATACCCTTCCTGATGAGAGTACAGCAAGATCAGACGGAAGAATGTGAATGCTGGGTCTTCCGACAGTGCCTGTATGGGTATGACTTCCTAAGTCGACAGGGCTGGCATCTGGTGGATCAGATGATATCGTGGTGGCAATATCTAGCTCTTGAATCATGCGATCCACACTGGCTTCAATGACATGTCTTTCCGCAGGTGGGATGATGTTCAAATGCTGAGATAGCTATCAGATCACGTCCTAAGTTCTCGTAATGATACCACAAGTAGCTACACCTGTTCAATAGCCTCGAGGAATTGAAGGCAGACAGCCTTTTGAGCATTCAAGCGACCAATGTCACCAAGCTGCGTTCTGAGCGTGACATGGACTCTCTCACCCAGTTGCGTGAAAGAATCGTAGATGTTTGATAGTTGAATTGCATCAGGCATGGCCCTCAGCGAAAAATGGACCTAATGGCTTCGGGGTTGGCGGGTTGGTCGTGATGATGTAACTTAGAGACAGCCTGGAACTTCCCGATCAGGCGCTGAGAAATGTGAAAATGAAAGTCACAAGGGAAAGTCGAAAGTCAACGCCGAAAGTGAAAGCCAAAGTCGAAAGCCAAAGTGGAAAGCCGAAGTCGAAAGTTGAAGTCGAAATCGAAAGCCGAAGTCGAAGTCAAAACTCTTACAAAGCAATGTGAAATCTTTATTTGGAGATGAAGAGTTTCAAGGAAAATCACGAAAACTTTTTGTCCGCCCAAGTCCGTTATAGAATGATGGCCTCGAATAGATGCCGGGCTAGATAAGGCATTGAATGACGACGACACAAAAGTATATCATCGGGAATTAGATCGCTGATTTTGTTATTCCGTTTTCATTTATCTAGATCAAATTGACACACATATTTGGTTCAAGACGATCGTGAATTCTATCAGAACGGACTTCTTCACTCATCAAATTATAATACAGGCAAACATCACTGTACCGTGAAATATGTATACCAACAAGGCTAGCTATAGTAAAAGTAGCGTTGCCTAGAAGAGATTCAGG